TGGGCAACATGACGAGACTCCATCTCTATCAAAAAAAAAAAATGTAAAAATTAGCCAGCCATGGTTGCTTATGCCTGTGGTCCCATTTGCTTGGGAGACTGTGGTTGCAGGATCACTTGAGCCCAGGAGGTCAAGGCTGCAGTGAGCTGAGATTGTGCTACTGCATTCTGGCCTGGGTGACAGCATGAGACCCTGTCTAAAAAAAAAAAAAAAAAAAATTTCTTCTTTCTTCCTTTTTTGCTAGATTGTTGTCATCAAAATTATCCGTTTGGCTTTAGGAAGAGGGAATTTTATTAGATTATAAAGCTTTGTGAACTTTATTTGTGTTTGGACAAACCTAAGTAAGAGCACACTACAAAGCTACTGCTTGGATGTAGAGGGCTAAATTGTAGGTACTTGTGAAACTTTTTATAGACACTGACTCATAAGTGTATTTTGAAAAGCCCCCTTGACCCAAAACTGCTTTTCAAAACTTCTCATTTTCTCCCTGAGAAGTATTCTTTAGAATTGTTCTCTGTTCATTTAAAAGAGGAAGATTCACTGGGTTTGTGATGGGGTTACTTTTAAGTTATTTCTGCTGGCAAGTTGGAGCCATATATATCTTGCATCCAGTAAAAAAAAGTTTTTTTGAGACGGAGTTTTGTTCCTGTTGTCCAGGTTGGAGTGCAATGGCACACTTGGCTCACTAAAATGTCCGCCTCCCAGGTTCAAGTGATTCTCCTGCCTCAGCCTCCCAAGTACCTGGGATGACAGGTGCCCCCACTACCATGCCCAGCTAATTTTTTATACGGGGTTTCATCATGTTGGACAGATTGGTCTCGAACTTCTGACTTCAGGTGATCTACCAGCCTCAGCCTCCTAAAGTGCTGGGATTACAGGTGTGAGTCACCTGGCCACATATGGTAAAATTTAACTAGTTGACTTACAGATTTGATTTACCGTTTCTTTACTAAGGTCCTAAAGTATATTAATATAAGAATCATCAACTTATTTAGATAGAAAACCTTTAATTGTATTAATGAATCAGGTAGCACTCATATCCAAATTCTTTGGTTTAGGCTGGGCACGGTATCTCATGCCTGTAATCCCAGCACTTTGGGAGGCTGAGGTGGGCGGATCACTTGAGGTCAGGGGTTCAAGACCAGTCTAGCCAACATGGTAAAACCCTGTCTCTACTAAAAATACAAAAAATTAACAGCGGGTGGTGGTACACACCTGTAATCCCAGTTGCTCAGGAGGCTGAGGCAGGGACTTGCTTGAACCTGGGAGGAGGTTGCAGTGACTCAAGATCCAGCCACTGCATTCCAGTCTGGGCCATAGAGCAAGACTTTGTCTCAACAAAATACAATAAAATAAAATAATATTTGGTTTAATCCACAAGTATGCTTTCTTTATAATTTAGCCATATGCATTTATTAGGAAAAGCTTATGTAATGCTGACAGGAAGCTCTGTGTTTCCTTTTCTGGGCATCCTGAAAATCTGAAGGGTCATGGATGTCTGTATAGAGATCTGTAAGATGTCAAAGAATAAAGTATAAAGATAATTTATAGACTAAGCTTTAACTCATGTGCCTTTATTATTTCCAGTTACAGAGAATCTGTATTCTTATTCAAAACAGATTTACAAAATACTTTTACAACTTATTTCTCGTAATTGTCTAGTGGCAACTGAAAATGACACTGTGAAGGGGGGTGTTTTGCACAGCTGTGGCAGAAATGTAATGTCAGGACAATCAGTGCTTAACAGGTCCCGAAGATCTCTGAAAATAGGTAATTGTAAATATGCTTATTGTTTCTTAGGTAATTAAAACATTGTTTCTAAAAGAATGTACTAATAAAGTATCTAGATTTTTTTGGTTTCTTTGTATTACTTTATCAGTGGCATTCTGGGTTACCAAACTGTAGTAGGATTGCACAAGTTTTTTAGTTTGTTTTAACTTTAGGGACTTGCACATTTAGTTTTACATTTAATTGTTTTTTCAGAAATGATTAAAGTGATCTACCGCCAAAATGCTTAACAATTTGATATGCTTCTAAGTTTCCTGCCAATGTACTTAATCAAATGTACTTAAAAATCAGTTTTCTTAAAGAAGCATACACTGTAATTCACCTGGGAAATAGCTTTTTGTTGTTGTTGTTGTTTTCTAAACTTTATTTCTCCCCACCAGAAGGTGGGGGTGGGCAGGCCTAGAACACTGCTTGTGACGGGGTTCCTGGGTCAGGCCAGTGCAGACAGAGCGGGTTTGGCGCGGCTCTTAGGTGAAGGTGTAGTTGTTCCAGTCTAAAGTTAAAACATTGGCCGCGTTTATGTTATAGTTGATGTAGACTCTGTCTGGGCTGATGCGCAGGCGCTCTGCCCGCAGGCAGCACAGCATCTTCCTGTTAAGAGCGGTTCTGCGCGCCGCTAAGCTTGCAGATGCTGTGCAGGCTGCAGAGCGCACACCGCTCGCTGGAGCCGCCCAAGGCCACGAGCTGATCCGGGACCAAGTGCACCGCAATGTAGTGGGGTGGCTTGCCAGTGGCCTGCACCAGCTGCTGGGTGAGCTCGGAGAGGAACCCGTGCAGCACGGAGGCACCGGGCACGTTGGTGTTTACGATGAACATTGGTATGATGGCAGAGGGACCCGGAGACCTGCACAGAGGCACAGACGCACGCGCTGCGGCCGCTGCTGAGCAACGTGCCTGACTTCGAAAACAGCATTTTTTAAGCAAAATTGGGCGATTAGCCTAAAAATAGTATTTGCCTCCATTCTGGAAAATAATTTATTTAATTCAGATTTTGAGACGGAGTCTCGCTCTGTCGCTAGGCTGGAGTGCAGTGGTATGATCTTGGCTCATTTCAACCTTCGCCTCCTGGGTTCAAGCAATTCTGCCTCAACCTCCTGAGCAGCGGGGATTACTGGCGCACGCCACCACGCCCGGCTAATTTTTGTATTTTCAGTAGAGAAGGGGTTTCACCATGTTGGTCAGGCTGGTCTCGAACTCCTGACCTTGTGATCCATCAGCCTGGGCCTCCCAAAGTGCTGGGATTACAGGTGTGAGCCGCCGTTCCTGGCCCAGATTATGGACAAATCTTAAATATGTATAGCATTCTTGCAATTTAGTAGCAAAGAAGTGAGTTTCCTTATTAAAACAATCTGAGTAGACTCAGATTGAGACTGACTACAAACACCTCTCTCAAAAAAAGTACAGGCCAGGCACCGTGGTTTACGCCTGTAATCCCAGTGCTTTGGGAGGCTGAGGTGGGCGGATCACCTGAGGTTGGGAGTTCAAGACCGGCCTGATCAACATGGAGAAACCCTGTCTCTATTAAAAATACAAAATGAGCCAGATGTGGTGATGCATGCCTGTAATCCCAGCTACTCGGGAGACAGAGGCAGGAGAATCGCCTGAACCAGGGAGGCAGAGGTT